GACTAGAACAACAACAACAAGCTTTTGTCTCACTAAGTGGGGTCGACTGTGCTTGTCCTTTTTCTCCATTGTGTCCTATTGAGTGTTATATTTTCATTCAATTATTAAAATCATTTTTTTTTGTACAGCATGCTCAAGTCTTTTTAGGTCTACCTCTATCTTTTTTAACATAAGACGAGTCTAAAACATCTACTCTCCTAACTAGATCATCGGATGATCGAAGTTGAATGTGACCAAACCATCTAAAATGATTCTCTTTAATCTTGTATGGCCACTGGAGCAACACCAACCCTTTCACGGATACATTCTTTTTGCATTTTTTCTCTAACTGTCAAGCCACTCATGCACCTAAGCATTTTCATCTCAGCAACACAATATAGTTTTATGTTTGTCTTTTATAGGCCAACATTCTGCTCCATAAAGCATTGCAAGTCTGTCCACCTTCTTTTAAATTTTTTTTTTAAGTCTAAGCGGTAGTTTTCTATCAAATAATAGGCCCGACACATTCCTCCACTTTAACCTTCCAACATGAATTCTGCTAATACCATACCCTTCTATATCACCATCACTTAAAATGTTCACTCATTTTAATGATTTGATCACCTATTGTTACAACTCTCTGCCACTAAATCTGCTACTAAAATTACATTCCATTTAAAATTTACTCAACGAATGACTTTAGACTTTAATGTAGATCTCCATATTTCGAGTTTTGCTTGAACTCTTTTCTTAGTCTTATCCAAAAGAAGCATATCATCAGCGAAAGCATACACCAAGATACATTTCTCTATAAATGTCCATTAAGAGAATCCATAACTAAAGCAAAAAAGATATAGGCTTAAATCGATCCGTGGTGTAATCTTTGATGTAATCCAACTGAAGATGTAATCCAACTGAAATAGGAAAAAAAATATTTGGTCAATCCTCCTATTCGAGCACAAGTAACAGCTCTAGTATACATATCTTTAATGACTTGAGTACAAGTCATGCCAAAACCTTTCTTTTCTAAAACTCTCCAAAGAACTCTTGGAACATTATTGTAAGCTTTTTTAAATCAATAAAAATAATATGTTGATACTTCCTACTCTCTCTGTACTTCTCAATCAAACCTCTCAATAGATGTATAGCTTCCATAGTAGACTTGCTCGGCCTAAATTCAAACTTATTATGAGAAATTTTTGCATCACGTTTTAACCTATGCTCATTTTTTTTCCCATAATTTTAATGTATGACACATTAACTTAATTCATCTATAATTTGCACACTCTTGTGTATCCTCTTTATTCTTAAAAATGAGGACCAAATGAGGACCAAAATACCCAAAATACTCTTTCTCTATTATTTGAACTTCTTTTTAGTTTTTAAAATAATAGTAAAAAGTTTAGTAGGCCAAGAAAATTCCTTATCTCTTAAATGTTTCCACACTTCTATTAGGATACTATCAGGTTTTATTGATTTTCCACTTTTTTTTTTCTTTAAAGCCCCATCAACTATATTTGTACTAATGCGATTGTAAAAGTAAAAAAAAAATTATTATTATTAACAATATTAAGATCGCTAATGTCGATCGGATTTTTCGTATTTTCAATAATTTCATTGAAAAACTTATCAAAATATCTCATTCAGATGTGTTGAATATGTTTATCTAAAAAAAGTATTTTGATTTTCATTTTTAATACAATTGAATAAATCTTTACTTTTATTTTGGTTTTGTTTGGCTAGTTTTACATATATCTTTCACCCTTTTTAGTATTTAATATATTAGAAAGATTACTAAAAATAGAATTCTTAGTGTCACAAATTATTCTCTTAGACTCCATACGGGTCAACTTATATTTTCTCAGTTCTCTTAACTTTTACATTTAAACTAATTTTTTTAACAACAAATTCTTATATATATGTGTGTGTGTGTGTATTTGCATATTATTATTCCACCACCATTATTTTTATTTATAAAAACAATTCACTTTGATTCTCAAAGTATATCTTTTGTCACTTGTTTTATTATGTTTATTACTTTATCTCGCATAGAATTAGTTTCTTCATGAATATCCCAAATCTTAAATTATTTTAGATTACTCAAAAAAAAAATATTTATTTTTTAGGTGCCCTATTTAATTTTATGACATATTTCTATGTTTTTTTTTTATTATTTTGAACTCGTCATCTTAAAATTCAAAACTAATAATCAATGTTGAGTACTCAAATTTTTTACTTGGAAGAACCTTACAATCTTTACATTCTCGATGATCACTTTTTCTCATAAAAAATAATCAATTTGTGTTTTATTAGGTTCATTCTTTTAAGTAATTATATTTTTATTTCTTTTCTCAAATAAAATATTAACAACAACAAAATTATAAGCTAAAGCAAAATCTAGTATGATTCTACCTTTTCTAAGATTATTTTATCTTCTTCATTATGCACTCCAAAATCGTAGTCACCATAAGTATTTCTAAAATCTTCTACTACTTTACGAACAAGTTCATTTAAATATCTAGCAATAAAAATTCTTTCTTCAAGAGATATCATTTATATTGATTCTTCTAGATCATTCTAAACTTGAGGAGCATAGACACTTATATCATTAAAAAATTTAGTATCAACAACACTTTTTAGGGCTATAATTCTATCCCCACTTTTATTAATTCTTACAACATTATTTTTCGAACTCCTATTTATAATTACACCGACACCATTTCTAGTGTTGCTTCTATTGGAGTACCAAAGCTTAAAACTTCAGCTATCAATCTCTTAAGATATTTATCTTTCTATGAACTCTAAAATTTATTAATTATATTAATTTATTTGTGAGAGTGCCTAAATTCCAAAAACTTATCCTAATATTAGCTTCGTGGACCAACTTTTTTTGCTTGCATCTGTCCATAATATGGAAACACTTCCTTATTTAACACTACGCTTGGGTTCGGTGAAGCGACTCTTGCACATTTTTCACTGTATTCAAGTCATACAACACGTCATTTCTAAGAGATATTCTATCATTTACACAATGATTTAAAATATTAATGTCATGATTTTTTTGACAAAAAATTTACGCTGGTTGTGACTACTTAACGCAATCTTTCACTTTTGACATCTGGGATTTGAGACCTAACATTGGTAGTGTTAAGATGTCGAGTTTGACTAATAGATATAAAATATAAAGGCATGGTTACTAGCTATGTTGCATAGATATGAACATGGGGACGTGGACATGATGTGGTACAGACACGAAATACATTTATTATTAAAAAATATATGGTACAGACAAGCATTGAACGCACAATTATAATAATAATTGTTAAAATATGTATAAAAAATAAATAAACAAAATATTAAGTATAATTCGAAAGAGAAAATAATAAATTTAATAATTTTAATTTTAAAAAATTAAGACCACGTTTACATCTTTTTTATTTCCTATTTTAGTTGATATAATTTTTATTTATTTTTTTTTAATTTTTTAAAAAATAAAACAAACTGTATTTAAAAATAATCTAAACATGTAAAAGATATTTTGAGTATTTTATAATGCAACTACATCAATCAAGCATTTTTTAATTTAAATCAAAATATAAAAAATAAAATTAAAATAAAATATAATAAACAAAAATATAAGTGTTCACAAATGACCCATAAGATGTTATGATAATTTTTTAATTTATGACATATAAAAAATAAACATATATCATCTTATATCACATCAAGATTTATGTCCTCTTAATCAACTATTCATTAAAAGATATAAAAAATTAACCATTTTTTTGGCACCGTATTCTTATGTAAACATATCTAAAACCTAAATTTTGATGTTTATATTTATGCCACCCAAATCTTTCATATCACGTCTAACATGCCACTATTTTTAATTTTGAAAAAAGAAATATATCTTTTCATTTATATGTAAGATGATATATACATAAAAATTGAAATTTAGGTGTTAGATACGTAAATACATAAGATTTGAGTGTTATGTATGTATTTCTTTTTAAATTGTCTTAAAAATATTTTTCAGAAATTTTTAATTCAATTTAGAACTCGTGTGTCCGACACTTATTTTTTAAAAAATATTAATTAAATTAGGCACTTCTATTTTTGAGATGTGTCTGACGCTGCATGACTTGTTAATTAGGAATGTCTGTGCATCATATGTTGTGAGAATTTCATTCCTCTTCCACTATTAAAATTGAAGTGTGATTTTCTCAAATCATCGTCGGACCCTTGCACTATACGGTGCTATTTTTTTATATAGCACTTGATACATTGTTATTTATCAAATTAGCACCATCATCCATCCGTTTTTCAACTCACCCAAATGTCAAAATTCACAATGATAGCATAACCCATTTTTTTTTTCTTATCAAATTTCCACTTGTTAGTTCGTGGCATGCGTAAATATTTGGATTCAGTGGTTATAAAAAAAAACTTGGATGCTAGTTTTGTATATTTGAAGTTTTGAGTGTCAAGTTACCTCTTTATTTATATTGGTAGCTGATTGATGTGTTGAGCTATTACCAAACTTCTAGCGGTTTAGCAGAGTCAAGTTAGACTCCACTGCAGGCTTCCATAAACATCTAGATATTGGCATATGTTTGTTCTGTATTTGAAATTGATGAATTGATAGTTAATTTCAGCGGCAAATTTTTATTTAATTTCCATGATTTTTGTACTTCCATTCGTGTGTCGAAAAATGATTGATGTTGTCAATTGTCTTGGTAGCATCTCATAATGATCAAAAATGTTTGTAAGGTTAAAATTTCATCCTTATAAAATTCATATTTTTATGTTATGAGCTTTTATTTGTGTAATAATAAGCCAACTCCATCTTTGTTTGTTTAAAATTTCATCTTAATGAAATTCATACCTAAAACTTATTAAAATACACAGTTGTGTATGGGTTCATATGTTTTGATGTTTTACCAATTGCATTTTATCTAGAAAAGCATGCTATGAAGGCTAATGTAAATTTGGCCTATTATTAATTTGTTCCTATATTTCAGGAAGAGCTTGCTTCATAAGTGGAAAGGCTACTGGATAAAGTGCGAGTATACTGTTGTTTCAACTACAGAATGATAGAATGGTGGTATAAAGTACGTTCTCCAGGGGCTCATTTGGCTGCTTCAAGTTGAATAGTTGGATATAATTAGGGGAAATTTACATACTTAGCACACAATTCTTATGTATTCACATCTCATACCAAAATTTTCATGGGACTTTGATGCTTTAAACCTATGCATGAAAAAATATATTTGAATTTTAAAAAAATAGTAATAGTGATATTTTTGAAGTGATAGTAAGGTTTTCAGTGGTATGTGTGTAAATATGAAAGTTTAGGGGTTAGATATCTAAATACATAAGAATTGTGTGCTATTCATGTAAATGCCCCATGATTAAATACTGATATTGACTCTACAAACAAAATGAGATTTTTAATTTCATACTCAGTACTACAAGCAACTAAATGTGGCCTATGAATCTTCTGAGAGAGAGAGTTAAGTCAGTTCTGGATGACTTGTAGATACAGAGAGTGCTTATCCATTCATGTTTTTAGGATCTTACATCGAACCCTTCTGAATCACCTTTGGTTAGAGCCTTAATAACCATGGTTAGTGCTCCATTGCTATTGGTATGCCTTCTTTATTTTTTGTCTTTTGAAATTCTTGCTTTGTACAGCATAAAGACTTGATATAGAATGAATGATCAGTTGTGCTGCTGTTATGATCGTATGGCAAGGATTGAACAGTAAAAAATTTAGTGAAATTACAATTTCATCTCAAGTTCATTTCTATTATATTTCAAATTTGTTAAATTTGTATGAGTATTGTGTATAATTTGAATGTAATGTTGTCGCCGCATGTTATTGTTGATTGGTTTAATTAAGAAAAAATAAAAACAAAAATATTAAGATCTTATACTAGTTTTCTTTAATTTTAAATAAAAAAAAACAAGTTCTTATGATTATTTTTTAAAAAATAAATTTAATTATTTTAAATAGTTTATTTTAATTATAATATTTTTTTTCTTAATTAAATCGAAGGGCCCCTTAATTTCATTTTATTTTTGAGGTCGTTCCTAAAACATAAGGCCTCGTTCGAGCATCCTCCATTCCGTCACAGGATTGATTTCTCCGAGAATTGCTTACACCACAATGGCTCATATGCCGTTTTTGGATCGCAACATTTGACCTCCGTTCAAATGTATGAAAGGTCAAAAATAGCCTCAAATTTTCTTGCTTGCTTCCTCGCCTTCTGTCTCTCGCTATCGTCATTTTCCGGCAATCTCCGAGGAAGAAGATGATTATACTGTGGGTAAAGAGTTATGAGGAAGAAGATGATTATACAGTGGGTAAAGAGTTCCTTATCGTACTTATATTTTGAAGGAGTGCAAAAAGTCTTTATTATGATGATTAATTGTGTTATAAAGTTTAGCTAATTTTATATTCCAAACGTAAGTTGTCACAATGATGTTCACTTATTAAAATTTATATCCTTATATATTTGCTTGATTCAATGTGACCTTTTAATGAATCATGAGACAAATGTCCCCACAAAAAATTAAAAAATAAAATTAAAAAAAAGGTCCCACCGGGATTCGAACCCAGGTCGCCAGATTCAAAGTCTGGAGTGCTAACCACTACACCATGGAACCGGTTGTCATAAATTTAAATAAATGAACATATTTATAAATCAAAATCTTTTACATTATTAGTTTAGAAAATACATGTAAGAATATAAATATTTGTACAAAAAAATTGCATTATTTATTTATAAATTTGAATGAACTCTTAGTACTTCCCACTTTTATGTGTCTATTTACTTTCTACCAAAGTAATGGAAGCGGAATACTTTTAAATTTTTCGTTATTGTTTTAATTTATATTTTTCTAATCTTAATTTAAGTCCAATATTTTTAGTCTATCTTAATTCAACTTTAATAAAAATAATTTGACAATTTTTTTCTTTTGTTTAACTGTTGAAATAAATATTGATAGCTACGCGAGCTTTGAGCTATAGTTGGTCGTTTGGTGAGTTGTGATGACGTTCATAGGCCGTAGAGGTTAGAGTCGAGAGTTTCACGAGCAGTAGACCGCGTAGGTCGTAGTTGGTCAAATAGGTCATAGTGATGAGGTGTGATGACGTTCGTATGCTTCAGAGACCGAAGAAGGAAGCTACATGAGCAGTGAAATATGTAGGTTGTACTTGGTCGCCTTGGCCATAGTTGTGATATGTGATGATGTTCGTAAGTTGCAGAGGCCGAAGTTAGGAGTTGCACTAGCCATGGACCACTGTAGTTGTTCACATAGACTGTAGTGGTGAGCTGTGAAGATATACGTAAGTCGCAAAATCCAGATTCAGAATCTACATGAGTTGTGGACCACATAAGTTGTAGTTCGTCACGTTGGTCGTAGTGTTGAGCTATGATGATGTTCGTTGGTCACAGGAGACGGAACCAGGAGGTGCATGAGTTGTGGATCATGTAGGTCGTAGTTGGTCATGTAGACTTTAGTGATGCACAGAGGCCTAAATCAGAGCTACATGAGTCGTGGGCAACATATGTTGTGGTTGATCACATAGGCCGTAATTGTGAATTATGACGACGTCCATGGGCCATTAAGGCTTGAGTCAGAAACTACACGAGTTATGGGCCACAAAGGTCTAGTTGGTCACGTTGGTTGTAACAGTGAGCTATGATAAAGTCTGTAGGCTGTAGAGAACAGAGTTGGAGCCGCAAGAACTGTGGACCACGTAGTCCGTAGTTATCTGTGTAGGTCATAGTGTTGGGTTGTGACAACGTTCATAAGTCGCGAAGGCCAAGGAGTTATACGAGCTATGGACCATGTAGATCATAATTGGTCACGTAGACCATAGTGGTGGGATGCAAGAGGAGAGTTTTAAGAGTCTGAATAACGTCGCCATCATCAGGTCGATTGTTACACCAGCTTTAGGAGGTGTTGCACCATATGTGAGATGTGTTGCTCTAGAAGATGTCTCATTACTCTGCAGTGTACGCCGAGATTCTACAACACATGTCATGATTCTGTAAGGGGTTTCATTGTAATGCATGTCTCATTTCAAGGCATCCGACGATGGTCAATGGTGGCTGGCAGGCGGTGATCAATAGTGGTCGCGGCTACAGGAGTGAGTGGTATTCATCGGGTCTGCGGTGCAGAAGCAATGCTGGAATTCAATTCCTCCTTCATGTTTTAGTCTTCTTCTGGCTCAAGATCTCCCCCCAACTCAAGAAGGGGGTGGGGCTCTATTTAAAGTCTGGGATATGCCTCATTGCAAAGAAGGAAAGAATTCAAACCACTCCATCAAACTACCCAAAGAGATTCCCTTGATAAGATGGCGTTCAAAGTTTTTGAGTGTCTTAATGGTGTCAGAATTGAGTGATCTTAGGCTTTTTAGATTCTTCTCACTGAGATGTTCAATTTGACTATAAGCTTGTCAGATTTGGAATATGCTCGACCTTGCAATTATGCACTGAAAGCTTGTAAAAGTAGTTTAACGGGTTGATATGAGCTTAATTTGACTTGGATTGGACCAATTTGGTATTGTTGACTCCGTCTCATCATGTCGGCCAGTTTAACTAAAATTTAGTTGAAATAATTAGAGTTATGTATTATTTTTAATCCAAGTTTGAATAATTCTTTCTCAAAATTAACTTGAGATTTGGGTCATACCTCGAGATTTGTGTCGGATGATGGAAATGATTTGATAGAATATCAACTACGGTTATGCTACATGAACTTTTTTTTTATGCTTTAGGTGGTTGATTCGTGTGCTGTTGGACAAGCAATCTTGCAGGTATGTATTCTCCTCATCACTTGGTGTTAAGTTGAGCAACAACTACCATATTGTGTAATGAGATAGTATGTAGTTTTCGATGTAGCCTGAGTTCAAAATAGTAGATAGTGAGGGAAAGGTAGATATTAATTCATCGACTATTATTATGTTCATAATAAATTATGGAAGAATAGACATGGGGTTGTTAGTAAAGGCAATGAAAACTATAATAGCAATGATAAATGACTAAGATAATGCTTGCAATCGTATAGGTCACAGGCTTCATTACATTTATTAAAAGCACCAATAGAATCACCCAAAACATTTAAAGAGAGAACGTTTGGTATTCCAACATTTTTCTTGAATCTAACAATAAGAAGTCACATGTCTACATTTATATTTGATGTGATACTTCTCATTGCCAAATTGCCATTATTTTTTTTTAGTATAAGAAGTCGCAATAATTGTTTTCTGTAGATATTACTATTCAGCATGCAATTAGTAGGATTAAAGGACTATGCATTGATATTCATTGCAGCATATTCATGATAAAGATGGCCATCATCCCTCTAATTCTCAAAACCTAGAAAAGTATACTTATGTTTTCCCTACCAAATTACTTGCTGATATATATATATTGTCATCTCACAACATACTTAGCCCAATGTTGCATCGTCATTCACATAACAACCATCATTTGATTTATTATGAACTAGAAAATCATCAGGATACTCCTCACAGACATATACTACATTATATTTCTTTCCAAAATCACCTTTTGTAAATAGCAGTGTGTGTATTGCATACATAGCATTTGAAACATTGTTATTTATATGTCTGGCACATTCTTCCATTCATTTTTTCAAATTCTAACTCAAATATCAAAATTCACGATAAAACCCCAACTTATATTTTTCATTTTTTATCAAAATTTCTGAATTCCTTGATCATGGCAAGCACTAATAGATGGACTCAATAGTTCATTCATTCAGACAGTCAACATGTAAGTGATAAATATGAGTATCCATTCTCAGACTTGCAAATTGCTACATAAACTTGAACTCATACAAACATTTCATGCAAATATATATTTCAAAATTTTATTTGAAACTGTCATGTTAAGGTTTCATATTCTATCTATTGAGGAAAAAAAGGACTATTGTAGTCAATATGCTCATAATCTCTTCTGTATTGTCATTAAAAGCCCTCAAAATTTATTTGGCAAATTTGATCTTGCTTAATTTTCATGTAGGTAAAGGAAAAAAAAAAAAGCAAAGTATAGGCTTTAGATGTTGAAAATCTTGCTTAATTTTCTTCATAATTGAGTCAAGCTTTGAAAACTTACTAGCCAGCCATTGTCTTTCTTAGGTAGATTTACATGCATGCTGCTCATTTCTTATGTATTTACATATCTAGAAATCTAAACTTTAATTTTTACATATATATCACATTACCTGT